CTAGAGCCCATTACGAACTACAAATAACAATCTTTTGACAAATCCGTGGAAAAAATTGGCAAAAATAATAAAAATACTGAATATACAAAGGCACCATTTAATGGGGACTATATGAAAACCTATACCTACCTATACATACAAAGCTGCGCCACCGGAGCATTATGACCAACAAATACCAATTTTTAGACAAATTCGTGAAAAAAATTGTTGAAAATCACCAAAAAATCGATTATCGGGTCTAGCTCTAAGTCAAATAATGTGGGTTGTATCGTGTAATCAACAAACAGACAGAATTTTATACTGAGCGTGAATAAATATACTTTATGGGGTCTACGACAAATATTTAGGGATTTTACGAACAAAATGACAAAGTTAATACAAAGAGGGTATAAAAATAGATTATTTTTCATTTAATCAATGCATGTAATTTTATTCATCGCAATGGAAGGGAGAACCTCAACAAAATGTGAAGAGAGGGTAAAATCACCACCTCTTTAGTTAAAGGTTAACAAATCTCGCACTGTTAAAGATCTTCTTTATAAGAACTTCTTCTATTATATAGTTACAAAACCTGCTACTTTAATTGTAGACTATTTTTTTGAGGCGAACGACATTAAAGTTCTTCTATAGTTATTAGAAGACTTTCTATAGATAAAAGACCTATTGTAATACTTTAAAATTGGTATTGTCCATGTTGTCGTAGGTTTCATAAAGTCAATAAAAAAAATTCCAAATTAATATTCAAAACATATGTGTGTGGGACAACCTATTGACACCCGTCGATTGAAAATCCAAAATCGTAGCAGAAATCCAAATGCATTGATAAGCCATAGCAGGTAGTTGTTAAACAATACAAGGATTAACAACAACAAATTTAAATAATCTTTAGAACCAACACGCACACACAAACGCATCACGACTTATTAGGACAAACCTACAGATTCACATATGTCTAGCAACACAATAGACCTTCTTTTGAATGCAACCTAAAAAGGCGCTCTCGTCTCGTAGGTATCGGTTAAATGCAAACAAAATGCATTTTCATTGCATTTTGAAAACTCTCCGAATGTCTTTTTTTGTTTTGAAATAAATGTGGGACAACTGAGAGAATCTTCCACTCTCTTTTTTCTTTTCTCCCTCTATGTTAAGAGTGAAGAGTTGGAATGTCTACCGGCACCAGATTTAGAATTGTTTTGTTTCTTATGTTGGCGATAAGACTATGAACAACATGCGTTGTTCTACATCCAGATGTATGTATGTATGTATAATTATGAATAACTTTGTGTGTCTCGAAGAAGTATGTTATAACACAGTGAAATGTTTGTAAATAATGTACTTTGGAGACGGAAAACACTCTTCAGTTGGTCTTTTAAAATTCGTGTCCCTACAGAAGACCAATATTCATATATAAAAGAGTAGTAAAATAACTGAAGGTAGAATCTTGAAATTTTGCACACGGATCAGTCTAGGTACGTAGGCGTGTGATATGGCTGGGTTTTTTGAAAATTCGTACTGGAAGGGTACGAAAAGTACTTTAATGCACTGAAATTTAATAGCTTGTATTGGGCAAATGAGCTAGAATTCTGAGATTTGCATGGAGTCCCTGATGGAGTGCAGGACAGATGTACCAAAGGGGTTTCGGAAATTCGAATGTTATGTGAACTTAAAATTTGGTATGACAATCAAGGCTGGAAAGTAAGTTTGATATATGAAGATGGTTTCGGAAATATGTACCAAGTGTGCGAACTGTACTAAATGGTACTAAATTAGGAACAGTTTAGTTTAGCGCTAATTGATGAAGCTGGAATTTTGAAAATTTTTATTGGAGTCATTGTTGATGGTAGGTTCGTGATAAAGAGGTGGGTTGGAAATGTGTTCTATAATTGTACGAACAGAACTAAATAGTACAAGATTTGTTACAATTTGGCATTGGCTGCTTGAAATATTTGGTATTAGGGTCGCTGTCCATGTGTAGCCTGGACATATGAAGGTTGTTTCGGAAATATGTACTATAATTGTACGAAAAGTACTAAGTGGTACTAAATTTGGCCTTTGACTAAGGAATAGAACTGAAATCATAAAATTTAATACATATTTTACTGTTGGTCTGTGGTTAAGATATGACAGTGATTTTGGAAATGTGTACTATAATTGTACGAAAAGTACTAAGTGCTACTAAAATGGCTATTAGGTGAAGAGATAAAACTGGAATCCCGAATATTGAGGTCTTACTTGTTATCTGGGATTGAGATATGGAGGTGGGTTCGAAAATGCGTCCTATAATTGTACGAAAAGTCCTGAAGTGGTACGAAATTTTGTATTGGGTGAAGGGATTGGGCTGGAATCCTCAATTTTGGTATTGAGGTCTCTGTTGGTATCTGGAATTAAAATATGGAGGTTTTTTGGAAATTGTTCAAAAAGTACTAAGTGGTAATAAATTGGGTATTGGATGAAGGGATATGGCTGGAATCACGAAATTTGAAGTTGAGGCCTCTATTAGTATCTGCAATTGAGATATTGAGGTGATTTTGCCTACTTTAATTGTATGAAAAGTACTAAATTTGGTTTTGATTGAATTTATAGCGCTGGAGTCCCAATATTTGAGGGACCTATGAACCGAAGACATGGATTTTTTAAACGATAATTTGAGCTAAAAGTGTGAATTTTTAAAAAACATCAACTTCAAAAAGTCTTCTCTCTGAAGAAGATCTGGAAAAATCCTTCTACATATATTAGACCTGAAGGAGTTAGTTCACCACTACAAGAAATAAAACGACTCCTCTGCCCCAAGAGGTCAAAAAAAGCTCTATTTTTTATAGTAGGCCGAGAAAAGGTCTTATGTCTTAGAAGACCTGAAATATGTTTTTTTACAGTAGACCTGCAAGAAGTCTTCTGTCTGTAGAAGAACTTTTGTCAATAGAAAACCAGAACGAGTTAGGAGTCTGTAGAAGATCGAAATGAGGGTTTCTGACCATAGAAGACTTGTAAATCGTCCTCAGGTTGTAAAATACATGAAATATTATTTTTGTATTTTTGTATGAAAGACCTTAAAGAAATCTTCTGTCTATAACATAGCACAGATTTGATCGTTTTCACTCGAGAGCGAAATATGCCCGGAAGCAGGATTGCTCGAAGAGTGGAATTTACGGAGTCTATTCTTCACTCTTTTGTTTTGTGGGTCATCGCTATCAAGTCACTCCTGTTTGAAATAAAAGGGTGGAAGCAGGATCGCTTAAAATAGAACAAGAGAGAAAAAAGAGTGCTAGGCAAGAGTAAAACCCCACTCAAAAACGAGGAAAATATGCTCACTCCTATTCGAGCGTCATCAAAAAATTCAGTTTAAAGACCTTCAGAATTTTTTCGCTTCAAAAGGTTTTTTTTTTCAGAAAATTCCTTCAATGATCCTTCCGTCCTTCCATGAATTTTTGTGAACAAAATGAACGTCGTATTTATTTTTCGATTGAGATGAAAGTTTCCAAAAAGTATTTGTTTGGCGCAAGGACGAACCATATAGAAAATGGTGCGAATCGATTCAAATTAAGATATAGCTCCCATATTTATCTTCAACCGATTTCGGGTTATTGTGCATCAAATGGCCAATATCAATCCAAATGACCAATATCAATCCAAAAACCGAATTCAGTCTGGAAGCAAGTACATCAAATTTGATGAGAATCGGCTTAGATATAGCTATAGCTTCCATATATATATTTCATCCGATTTGGTGTTTAAATCCCTCACACTCGTAATATGCACTCCACAAGATTGATATTTGTTACCAGAAATCAGATACAGCCCAGAAATATATATACCAAATTTTATCAAGATCGGTTCAGATTTGGATATAGCTCCCATATATACTATTATCCGATTCCAGGTTTATTGTGCAGCAAATGGTTAATATCAGCCCACTTTGAGTAAATCTTGGCACCGACACCACCGAATTCAGTCTAAAAGCAAATAAATCAAATTTGGTGAAAATCGGTTCGGTCACAAATGCTTTTCTCTAATTTAGTGGAAGCCGATTCACAGTAGGATATACCTTCCACTCTAAACTGCTCCTCATAGTCATAATATGCATTCAAAAAAACGATCATAGTAGGTATGATCTCCGTGGAATTTTTAAGAAAATTATGTCAAGGATCATCTAACCCACAATCTAGAGGTTTTGCGGCCCAAATGACCAATGCAAGTGCATAGACAGTAATCGGGGATTTTTTAAGAATATTTTTTTAAGAACCATCTGGGCAAAAATTGTGGGTCTTTAAAATTGGTTTTCAAGAACCATCTAACCAAAAATCCAGATTTTTTGGAAAACATTTTCAAGGACCTTCTGACCAAAACCGACGACTTTCAGTTTTTAGCTCCCATAAAACCATTTCTGGTTCATTGTGCACCAAATGTGCAAAATCGGCCCAAATGAGACTACCTTTGGCAACTACGCCGAACATAGTCTAGAACCAAGTACGTCGAATTTGAATTTAATTAATGGGTTCAGATATAGATAGATATAATTTCCATACAAATGTTTCATTCGATTTGACATTTATGACGCCCAAAGTCGTGCAATGCACTCCATAGTAATGTCAGTCGCTAAAACATATCAAAAACAGCTCTACCTCTGCCAAATTCTTTAAAAATCGGTTCATAAATTTCCAATATAAACGTTTATTAGCATGAAATTGTTGGCCCTGTCCGACATTGGCCTTTACTTCATGCTTTTATAAATACTTATCTTTTCTTCTAATAAAATCTATGCTGGGTATTACTGATTTGAATATGATAATTTTCCTATACACCTCTCATCAAAACTCAACCGGAGAACCAACAGAGAATAACAACAAATCCAACGAGAACAAATGAGCAGCCAAAAAGAAAAACATTTGTTGATAAGACGATCGTTGTTTGCTTTGTTTGAGAAATGAGAGAGAGAGAGAGCGGCTAAGCAGATAGGCCGACAAACAACCAAGTGATCCACGTTCAACAGGCTGGAATGCATTGCTGTTGTAATAGTTCAATACCGGCTGGCGAGTGGAACGCATTCATATCAACACAACTGGGAGAACGACCAACAACTATTCAAACAACCTACCAACCAACCAACCCAGATTGAAAAGCTAACCAGTTTTCAACCGGGTTATAAAGTGAAACGTAGCACGCGGGAGTGGGCCAACGTAACGTAATACAAGAATAGAACGCGCGAACACACCCACTTATCTATTTGCGGTTAGAATAAAAAATTTAAAAAAAAGAAAATATTCCTTTCAAAACTATCTCAACATGAATCGCCCGGCCCAGTATCACCAACATAACGAAGTCCAAAGGTACATTGCCGACAAGGTATGGAGCAAATATTCCAAATGGCTGCAGTGGCGCCACGATGGCCAAGACACCCTGCTGGATGTGGGCACAGGGACCGGTAATGTCCTAATGGAAATCGTTAAACCCCGCATCGCCAAAACATATCGGAAAATTGTCGGCACCGATGTTGCTCCCGAAGTTATTGAATTCGCCCAAAACTATTATCGTTCGCCAAAGAAATGTGAATTTCGCGTTTTGAACATCTGCACCGAACAGCCACTGCCACACGATCTTTTGGGGCAATTCGATCATGTCACATCGTTTAATTGCCTACATTGGCTAAAGAATCAAGAGTAAGTTTTGTTGTTATCAGTGGCGATTCGAAATGGAAAAAAAATACAAAAACAAAAAATATATGAAACAAAACAAAAACAAATCTGGAAGACATTAAAAATTCAACAGCCAGTGTGAACGTTTCGTATTTGCATGTTAAATATATATTAGACCATTTACAGCGACAGCAGCCGCAGAAAAGTCAGAGGCAGAGTCGCCGTAGTTCAAGGTTTGTCAACAAATCAGGCTGACCAACGAGGGGGGTAGAGACAGAGAACTGACGATTGAAAAGAGCCACCCAGTCACGTTCTATGCCTAAACTAACAACAATTTTCAAGTGTTGTCTTTAAATAAAAAATAAACAAATAAAACGGGCGTTGGTGATGGTATTGGTCTCATTTGAAAATAATTTTTATAGTAAATTTACTATTTTGATTATGATGGGGAAATAATTTGGTACAGTGGGACAAAGGTGGATTTTTTAAAGAAGATTTTCTTCAAAGACCAAAGGTCCAATAAACGTAGATTTTTTATAGAATATTTTTTCAAGGACCAATAAACCTGGATTTCTTAAAGAATATTTTTTCAGGGACCAATAAACGTGGATTTTTTAAAGAATAATTTTTTCAAGGACCAATAAACGTGGATTTTTTAAAGAATATTTTTTCAAGGACCAATAAACGTGGATTTTTTAAACAATATATTTTCAAGGACCAACAGACCAATAAACGTGGATTTTTTAAACAATATTTTTTCAAGGACCAACAGACCAATAAACGTGGATTTTTTAAACAATATTTTTTCAAGGACCAACAGACCAATAAACGTGGATTTTTTAAACAATATTTTTTCAAGGACCAACAGACCAATAAACGTGGATTTTTTAAACAATATTTTTTCAAGGACCAACAGACCAATAAACGTGGATTTTTTAAACAATATTTTTTCAAGGACCAATAAACGTGGATTTTTTAAAGAATATTTTCTTAAAGACCAAATGACCAATAAACGTGGATTTTTTAAAGAATATTTTCTTAAGGACCAAATTACCAATAAACATGGATTTTTTTAAAGAATATTTTTTCAAGGACCAGAGGACCAATAAACGTGGATTTTTTAAAGAATATTTTTTCAAGGACCGCAGGACCAATAAACGTGGATTTTTTAAAGAATATTTTTTCAAGGACCACAGGACCAATAAACGTGGATTTTTAAAGAATATTTTTTCAAGGACCACAGGACCAATAAACGTGGATTTTTTAAAGAATATTTTTTCAAGGACCACAGGACCAATAAACGTGGATTTTTTAAAGAATATTTTTTCAAGGACCACAGGACCAATAAACGTGGATTTTTTAAAGTAATTTTTTCCAAGGACCATAGGACCAATAAAAGTGGATTTTTTAAAGAATATTTTTTCAAGGACCAACAGACCAATAAACGTGGATTTTTAAATAATATTTTTTTAAGGACCAAATGACCAATAAACGTGGATTTTTTAAAGAATATTTTTTTAAGGACCAAATGACCAATAAACGTGGATTTTTTAAAGAATATTTTTACAAGGACCAACAAACCAATAAACGTGGATTTTTTAAAGAATATTTTTTCAAGGACCAAATGACCAATAAACGTGGATTTCTTAAAGAATATTTTTTCAAGGACCAACAGACCAATAAACGTGGATTTTTAAATAATATTTTTTCAAGGACCACAGGACCAATAAACGTGGATTTTTTAAAGAATATTTTTTTCCAACGTGGATTTTTTAAAGAATATTTTTTTCCAACGTGGATTTTTTAAAGAATATTTTTTTCCAACGTGGATTTTTTAAAGAATATTTTTTTCCAACGTGGATTTTTTAAAGAGTATTTTTTTCCAACGTGGATTTTTTAAAGAATATTTTTTTCCAACGTGGATTTTTTAAAGAATATTTTTTCAAGGACCACAGGACCAATAAACGTGGATTTTTTAAAGAATATTTTTTCAAGGACCACAGGACCAATAAACGTGGATTTTTTAAAGAATATTTTTTCAAGGACCACAGGACCAATAAACGTGGATTTTTTAAAGAATATTTTTTCAAGGACCACAGGACCAATAAACGTGGATTTTTTAAAGAATATTTTTTCAAGGACCACAGGACCAATAAACGTGGATTTTTTAAAGAATATTTTTTTCCAACGTGGATTTTTTAAAGAATATTTTTTCAAGGACCACAGGACCAATAAACGTGGATTTTTTAAAGAATATTTTTTTCCAACGTGGATTTTTTAAAGAATATTTTTTCAAGGACCACAGGACCAATAAACGTGGATTTTTTAAAGAATATTTTTTTCCAACGTGGATTTTTTAAAGAATATTTTTTCAAGGACCACAGGACCAATAAACGTGGATTTTTTAAAGAATATTTTTTTCCAACGTGGATTTTTTAAAGAATATTTTTTCAAGGACCACAGGACCAATAAACGTGGATTTTTTAAAGAATATTTTTTTCCAACGTGGATTTTTTAAAGAATATTTTTTCAAGGACCACAGGACCAATAAACGTGGATTTTTTAAAGAATATTTTTTTCCAACGTGGATTTTTTAAAGAATATTTTTTCAAGGACCACAGGACCAATAAACGTGGATTTTTTAAAGAATATTTTTTTCCAACGTGGATTTTTTAAAGAATATTTTTTCAAGGACCACAGGACCAATAAACGTGGATTTTTTAAAGAATATTTTTTTCCAACGTGGATTTTTTAAAGAATATTTTTTCAAGGACCACAGGACCAATAAACGTGGATTTTTTAAAGAATATTTTTTTCCAACGTGGATTTTTTAAAGAATATTTTTTCAAGGACCACAGGACCAATAAACGTGGATTTTTTAAAGAATATTTTTTTCCAACGTGGATTTTTTAAAGAATATTTTTTCAAGGACCACAGGACCAATAAACGTGGATTTTTTAAAGAATATTTTTTTCCAACGTGGATTTTTTAAAGAATATTTTTTCAAGGACCACAGGACCAATAAACGTGGATTTTTTAAAGAATATTTTTTCAAGGACCACAGGACCAATAAACGTGGATTTTTTAAAGAATATTTTTTTCCAACGTGGATTTTTTAAAGAATATTTTTTCAAGGACCACAGGACCAATAAACGTGGTTTTTTTAAAGAATATTTTTTTCCAACGTGGATTTTTTAAAGAATATTTTTTCAAGGACCACAGGACCAATAAACGTGGATTTTTTAAAGAATATTTTTTTCCAACGTGGATTTTTTAAAGAATATTTTTTTCCAACGTGGATTTTTTAAAGAATATTTTTTCAAGGACCACAGGACCAATAAACGTGGATTTTTTAAAGAATATTTTTTTCCAACGTGGATTTTTTAAAGAATATTTTTTTCCAACGTGGATTTTTTAAAGAATATTTTTTCAAGGACCACAGGACCAATAAACGTGGATTTTTTAAAGAATATTTTTTCAAGGACCACAGGACCAATAAACGTGGATTTTTTAAAGAATATTTTTTCAAGGACCACAGGACCAATAAACGTGGATTTTTTAAAGAATATTTTTTCAAGGACCACAGGACCAATAAACGTGGATTTTTTAAAGAATATTTTTTTCCAACGTGGATTTTTTAAAGAATATTTTTTCAAGGACCACAGGACCAATAAACGTGGATTTTTTAAAGAATATTTTTTCAAGGACCACAGGACCAATAAACGTGGATTTTTTAAAGAATATTTTTTCAAGGACCACAGGACCAATAAACGTGGATTTTTTAAAGAATATTTTTTCAAGGACCACAGGACCAATAAACGTGGATTTTTTAAAGAATATTTTTTCAAGGACCACAGGACCAATAAACGTGGATTTTTTAAAGAATATTTTTTCAAGGACCACAGGACCAATAAACGTGGATTTTTTAAAGAATATTTTTTCAAGGACCACAGGACCAATAAACGTGGATTTTTTAAAGAATATTTTTTCAAGGACCACAGGACCAATAAACGTGGATTTTTTAAAGAATATTTTTTCAAGGACCACAGGACCAATAAACGTGGATTTTTTAAAGAATATTTTTTCAAGGACCACAGGACCAATAAACTTGGATTTTTTAAAGAATATTTTTTCAAGGACCAAAGGACCAATAAACGTGGATTTTTTAAAGAATATTTTTTCAAGGACCACAGGACCAATAAACGTGGATTTTTTAAAGAATATTTTTTCAAGGACCACAGGACCAATAAACGTGGATTTTTTAAAGAATATTTTTTCAAGGACCACAGGACCAATAAACGTGGATTTTTTAAAGAATATTTTTTCAAGGACCACAGGACCAATAAACGTGGATTTTTTAAAGAATATTTTTTCAAGGACCACAGGACCAATAAACGTGGATTTTTTAAAGAATATTTTTTCAAGGACCACAGGACCAATAAACGTGGATTTTTTAAAGAATATTTTTTTCCAACGTGGATTTTTTAAAGAATATTTTTTCAAGGACCACAGGACCAATAAACGTGGATTTTTTAAAGAATATTTTTTCAAGGACCACAGGACCAATAAACGTGGATTTTTTAAAGAATATTTTTTTCCAACGTGGATTTTTTAAAGAATATTTTTTCAAGGACCACAGGACCAATAAACGTGGATTTTTTAAAGAATATTTTTTCAAGGACCACAGGACCAATAAACGTGGATTTTTTAAAGAATATTTTTTTCCAACGTGGATTTTTTAAAGAATATTTTTTCAAGGACCACAGGACCAATAAACGTGGATTTTTTAAAGAATATTTTTTCAAGGACCACAGGACCAATAAACGTGGATTTTTTAAAGAATATTTTTTTCCAACGTGGATTTTTTAAAGAATATTTTTTCAAGGACCACAGGACCAATAAACGTGGATTTTTTAAAGAATATTTTTTCAAGGACCACAGGACCAATAAACGTGGATTTTTTAAAGAATATTTTTTTCCAACGTGGATTTTTTAAAGAATATTTTTTCAAGGACCACAGGACCAATAAACGTGGATTTTTTAAAGAATATTTTTTCAAGGACCACAGGACCAATAAACGTGGATTTTTTAAAGAATATTTTTTTCCAACGTGGATTTTTTAAAGAATATTTTTTCAAGGACCACAGGACCAATAAACGTGGATTTTTTAAAGAATATTTTTTCAAGGACCACAGGACCAATAAACGTGGATTTTTTAAAGAATATTTTTTCAAGGACCACAGGACCAATAAACGTGGATTTTTTAAAGAATATTTTTTCAAGGACCACAGGACCAATAAACGTGGATTTTTTAAAGAATATTTTTTCAAGGACCACAGGACCAATAAACGTGGATTTTTTAAAGAATATTTTTTCAAGGACCACAGGACCAATAAACGTGGATTTTTTAAAGAATATTTTTTCAAGGACCACAGGACCAATAAACGTGGATTTTTTAAAGAATATTTTTTCAAGGACCACAGGACCAATAAACGTGGATTTTTTAAAGAATATTTTTTCAAGGACCACAGGACCAATAAACGTGGATTTTTTAAAGAATATTTTTTCAAGGACCACAGGACCAATAAACTTGGATTTTTTAAAGAATATTTTTTCAAGGACCAAAGGACCAATAAACGTGGATTTTTTAAAGAATATTTTTTCAAGGACCACAGGACCAATAAACGTGGATTTTTTAAAGAATATTTTTTCAAGGACCACAGGACCAATAAACGTGGATTTTTTAAAGAATATTTTTTCAAGGACCACAGGACCAATAAACGTGGATTTTTTAAAGAATATTTTTTCAAGGACCACAGGACCAATAAACGTGGATTTTTTAAAGAATATTTTTTCAAGGACCACAGGACCAATAAACGTGGATTTTTTAAAGAATATTTTTTCAAGGACCACAGGACCAATAAACGTGGATTTTTTAAAGAATATTTTTTCAAGGACCACAGGACCAATAAACGTGGATTTTTTAAAGAATATTTTTTAAGGAACAAAGGATTAATAAACTTGGATTTTTTAAAGAATATTTTTTAAGGAACAAAGGATTAATAAACTTGGATTTTTTAAAGAATAGTTTTTCAAAGATAAGAGGACCTATAAGCGAGGACTTTTTAAAGAATATTTTTTTGAAGACTAATAAACGTGGATTTTTAAAGATTATTTTTCAGGTAAATCTGACCAACAAAATAATAAACTTTTGAAGAATAATTTGCAAGGACCATCTGACCAATAAACGTCATATTTTTAGAATATTTTTTCAAGGACCATCTGACCAGTACACGGGTATTTTTCAAGATTTTTTTCAGGGATCATGTTATTAGTAAACGTGAATTTTCGAAGGATGTTTTTACAAGGACTATCTAGCCAACAACGGTTTATTTTTCAAGGCCATCCGATCAATAACTGTGGATTTTTAAGAATATTTTTTCAAGGACAGTCAGCCATACAGGGTGAGATGAAAAAACTGCACTAAAAATACCAAGATTTCGATCACCTCAGGGAAGCGCTTCGGTGGGAATGGGCCAAAATACCACAGAGCAACATTCGGGCAGCGTGTGACGGTTTCATCGGCCGTTTGAAGACCATAATTCTGGCCAAAGATGACCAATTCGAACAAATCTAAAGTTATTCTAAAATTTAATGCTATTTCCGACATTTTTTGCTTTTATTCAATAAAATTAAAAAAATGTAAAAATTATGGCGTTTGACTTTGTTGCAGTTTTTCTATCTCACCCTGTATATGTTACCTAACGCATATATCCACATTTTCCAACAATTTGCACATATTTCATATAAAGTAAAGGTATAGTATAGGTCAGATACGAATTGGCCAACTGCTTCGGAACTTCCCCTATAAAGGGTCAACAGTTTGTATTATCATAACACAAGGCTGGGGGTATATGTCTATCGACAAAACCGACTGATACTATTTTGCTCGTTTAGAATATTTTTGAAAGTTGATAATAATTTTTTATAAAAGATACCTGACCCAATTTAAAATTTTTATCTTTTTTGTCAATTTTTATTTCCAGACAAGCTTTGCGTAACATTTACGATCTGATAAGGCCCGAGGGTGGTGACTGCTTGCTATCGTTTGCCCCCTATGTACCCATTATGGATATTTATGAATCGTTAAGAGATTCAGCCACCTGGGCACCTTATCTGGGACACACCGATTATTTCAATGGTCCTCTACAGCGAATTGAGGAATTTGCTTTGGTGAAATTACTACAGGATATTGGTTTCTATAATGTTCATGTGCAGTTTAACTATGACGTGTACAACTATGATAGTCCTCAGGAGTTTTCAGGTGAGTCAAGGAATATCTCCTTTCCTTTCCCTAATTTTCAAATGGTCTAATCACATTTTTTTTTTCTTTTACAGATCAAATGGCTGCCAGTAGCTTATTTTTGAAACATGTCCCCGCCTCAATGCACGAGAAGCTAATGGTTGACTTCCTGGAAGTGGCCCGAAGACTGGGCTGCCGGGCATCCAGTGCCTGTGGTACCAAATGTAAATTTTCTCTAAATTTCACCAATGCCGTGGTCTATGCCAAAAAACTTCCCCAGCGTAGATAGTTTGGACTCACAGTAACATGGCACTGATAAGTGAAATCAGTAGTGACACTGATGCAAGAGATTAACTAAAGCAACAACAGAAATTTTATTAAAGATAAGTTAGTTAAGGGAACGGAATAGTGGAGAATATTCGCAGAGGCATTTGACGAGAAAGAGAGAGTGAAAAACATTTCTCTCAAACATTCAAAAAAAATTATTAATAACTAGTCTCCCGTAACCCTCCATATGATAAGCGAATTTGTTAAAAAAAAATCAAACATAGAATTATTTTCAATTGCATTTTTTATTTTCCTAACTTAGATTTTAGATAAGATACAGCAAAGAAATTGTTTGCAAAAAGAAATCAATATTTATCTATTATTATTAAGAATTGCAATATTAAGCTTTAACTAATCTTATATTACTTGTATGCCATATATACTTAACATAATTCTAATAATAATAGTGTATGTATTTAGGTTTAAATTTTTGTTATATGGAAATTTTGATACCCAACGTGCAATAAAAATGTGAGGAACTGAAATATAAATATACTCGTATTTGTATTTTTCCAAAATGTTTATGTACCGACAATGCTTAAGAAAATATTCCTAAAAAGCCCACTTTCCACCCCCAGCCAATTTTCATACCCTACACCACATAGTGGTAAGGGTATTAGTCTTTGTGCATTTGTTTGTAACATGGAGAAGGGAGCGAGACAGACCCATAGTTACTTTTGAGGATCTCCTTAGAATCACTTTCTGAGTTGATTTATGCATGGCAGTCCGTCCTTCCATCCGTCTGTGCATGTATTCTTGTGAAAAAAAGCAGGTCGCATTTATTATCCAATTGAGATGAACTTTTCCACACAACATTTGTTTGGCCCAAGGATGAACCCTATTGAAATTGGAGATAATCGGTAAAAAATTGGATATAGCTCCCATAAAAATCTTCGTCCGATTTGCCTTTTATTGTGCACCAAACGTGTATTATCAGCCAGAATAGTATGGAATTTTGCACATACAACCAAATTAGGCCTGAAAATAAGTATGACAAATTTTATCGAAATCGGTTCAGATATAGCTGTAGCTCCCATATATATTGTTCATCCGATTTGTTATTTTTGTCCTCCGCTGCCGCAATATGCACTCTGTAACAACTATATTTGGGGAAATGTATCAAATGCAGCTCAGAAATACCTTTGCTAAATTTTATCGAGATCGGTTCGGATTTGGATATAGCATCCATATATACCTTCGTCCGACTTACCTTTTATTGTACACCAAACGTCTATGATCGATTCGGTTATTCAAAATCTTTGGTGGGAAAGTACCAGAAGAAATGTTCCGCTCTGTACCACCTTTTTAACAGATCTTGTGTTTATGGAAATATTGAGATGTGCAAAGTCTGAATGGAATCGGATGTTAATTTCGTGTTTTATGAGCTCCATGGATATTCAACATTTTGACCCTTTGTGGGGGAGGTACAAGAAGGAGTTAATCAATATTTCCCATCTCCGAACTCGATATTGCCCATCTCCGAACTCGATCTAAATAATACAGGGCGAGACAAAAAAAAACTGCAACAAAGTCAAACGCCATAATTTTTACATTTTTTTGCTGGACAACGAATGTTTTCTCATCGGAGAAAATCAAATTCGGCAGTTCACCACTTTCGGCCAAGCAACAACGAAGCAACTCTTTAGCTCTTTTGAGTCTATTTTCTTTCAGCTGCAGTGTAAGTTCTAGCAATTTTTGGAATTTAAATCGCTTTACCTGGAGCTCCTTTTTTATATTCGCCGAAAAGAATATTGCGATATGTTCAGCTCACGAGCCATTTTTCGGCCACTGCGACGCTGGTTTCACGGTAACGAGCGATGGTACGAGACACAAAAGATTTATTCACATTTAAATGCTGGAGTGCTCTTACGATAACCACTTTTGGTTTTCCAGCCAAATATAAAGAAATCACACCATCATGCTTAAATTCCATGGCGAATAACTTTTTTTCTGGAAAATTCTCACCAAAATGATTTTGTACGCTTGTAAACAATATAATGAGGTGTCACTGGAATAATTTTAAAAGCTGTCGGACGAGTTACCTCGAAATGACAGCAGTCTGAAGTTAGTTGCACTTTTTTCATCTCACCCTGTATTATGATGTACCACGATTGGACCAAATCGAATACTCCATTCTAGAGTTATCGTGCGCAACAGGCACCCAGACACACGAACGGACGGACATCGCCAGATCGACTCCAAATGTCCTGAAACGGATTTGGTCCAGAGACCTAGGGTCTAACACCATTATTTCGATGAAGCACGTTTTGGCCGTATCAAATGATATATACCCTCTCTAGCCATACGGATAAGGGTATAAAAACACTTTATTTTTGGTAGATGATCTTTAAGAAAATAAAAAATAATCCACATTTAGTCCTTCAAAAATATTCTGAAACAATCCAAATTTATTGGTCACATGGTCCTGGAAAAAAAATATTCTTAAAAATCATAAAAAACATTTCTAAAAAAATCCACAATCATTGGTTGGATGGTGCTTTAAAAAATCCTTAAAAAACAAGGATTTTTGGTCAAGTGGTCCTTGAAATAATATTCTAAAAAAGTCCATGAAGATCGATCAGATGAGCCTTGAAAAAAATCCTAAAAATCAACAATTGTTGGCCGGATGGTCCTTAAAAAAATATTCTTAAAATGTCTACGACTTTAAGTCCTTGAATTTTTTCCAAAAAAAATCGACGGTTGTTGGTATGGTGATCCTTGAAAAAATAGGCTTTAAAAATTGGAGATTTTTGATCAGATGGTTTTTGAATAATATTCTTAAAACATTATTATTGGTATGATGGTTTTAAAAGTCCACGACTATTGGTAAAATTGTCCTTGGATATAAATTCATAAAAAACCCAGGATTATTGGTATGATGGTCCTTTACAAAATATTCTCCAAAATTCCACAATTTTTGGTCAGATTGTCTCTAAAAAAAAATTCTCAAAAATCGAGGACAATTGGTCAGATGGTCCTTTAAAAAGTACTCTTAAAAAATCTAAGTTTTTTGATCCTTGTTGGTCCTTGGAAAATTATTTAAAAAAACATGAATAGTGGTCTGATGTTCTTTAAACAAATATTCTGACTAAAAGTCGTAGAGTCAGATGGTACTCGAAAATATATTCTTCAAAACTACACGATTATTGTTCATATGATCCCTATAAAACTTCTAAAAATATCGACGATTATTGCTCACATGGTACATGGGAAAATATTCCTAAAAAGTGGACGATTATAGGTCGGATGGTCCTTGAATAAATAATCCTCAAAACTCCACAATTATTGGTCAGATTGTCTTAAAAAAAATCAAAAAATCTATGGTTATTGGTCAGACGATTATTGAAAAGATAATCTTTAAAAATCCACTTTTTTGATCCTTTTTGGTTCAGAAAAAATATTCTTAAGAAGTCCACGACTATTGGTCAAGTTGCCCTTGGAAAACAATTCTTATGCTTGACAAAAAACATCTTAAAATATCGACGATTATTGCTCAGAAGGTCCTTAAAAAAAATATTCTAAAAAAATCACAACCATTGGTCAAATAGTCCTTGGAACTAAGTTCTTAAAAAAATCTATGGTATTAATCCTTGTTGGTCCTTAAAAAATATTCTTAAAAACCCCAGGAATATTGGTCAAATTGTCCTTGAAAAAAATTCTTCAATACCACATGAATATTGGTCAGATTGTTTTTAAAACATATTCTCAAAAAATCCTAAAAAGATATACTTTAATATTTTTAAAAATCCACGATTAGTGGAAAAATTTAAAAAAAAAATCCATGATTATTGGTCAGTTGGTCCTTGAAGAAATTCTCTCAAAAATCCATGATTATTAAACAAATTGTCCTTGAAAAAATAATCTCAAAAAACTATGATTATTTTTTAGATGGTCCTTGAAAAAAAATATTTTTAAAATAATTCACGATTATTGATCCGATGGTCCTTGCATTAATATAGAAGATTTTTGGTCAGATGGTTCTTGAAAAAAATATTCTTTAAAATCCACGTTTGGTCCTTCAAAAATATTTTAAAAATTAATTTGAAAATCTGCGATTGCTACATCAAAACATTTAATTATCTGTATGAATGTTTGTGTGTATGTTTTCCACATACGCGTTATTCCTTCTTCTTCTTGTTGCTGCTGCTGAAAAAGGTTATCGATAAAACAACAATGCCCGGGGAAAGACTGTCTTATGCTTAATTAAATATTCATCAAACACAAAAGAAAACTTTTTAAATACTCATCAGGATGCAACCACCAACATCATTACCCACACCCAGTACGTGCAAGCGAAACGGGTTCGGCCAAAACCTTTACCCATCACCAACCTTCCTTCCTCATGTTTACTTAAAACATAAGATTTTATTGGAAATCTTTTCGCAGCCGAAGATTCGTTTAAGGGTAACTCAAGTATAGCCGACAAACTTAATGCTCCTTTTTGAAAGAAAACGAATATTGAAGCAAACTTATCTAGAATCTACACACACGCACAGATATGCTCCTCACCTTTTCCACACTATCATTAAAAGTTTATTATCTTGAAGGTAATTTCACATGTCCTTTTGTATCTTATCCCAAGTCAGGGTATGACCTCCCCAGAACTTCTTTGTCCATTCTAATCAATAACAACAAATCATCGGTTTATTTTAAAATCCTCCAATTAAAATCCCATCCATGATTACGGTTTCCTGCCATTACACCTTGCTGCCCATGCTTCAGTTCTTCAGCTAATGCTAAACTTTTTGAGGCAATTCCCTTTTGGGACATTAAAAACTCATTTCCTTATTTATTTCCAAAGAAAATGCATATCCTTTTTGTTTCGTATATTTACATATGAAGGAAACCATTGGCCTTTGAGTATGGACTGAGGTGTGGTAGTTTGGAGTGGAATTGGTCTATTGTTGGAAATTTACAGTGGCTGAAAAAGGTCATATTTTTGTAAGGAAAATTTATCTCTAATCCATAAGAAATAGTTTTTTAAAAATTCAAGGGTAAGTTAGTCCTAAAACAAAATTCTTAAAAAAATGTTTTGAGAAACATTTTTGAAAACACCCAATTTTATTGACATTTTGGCCTTTGAATAAATCGACTTTTATCCATTTGAAAAAATATTTTTAAATAGTTCAACTCTACTGATGCTTGAAAAAAATATTTTTAAAAAATATAGGTTTATTGATCCTTGTTACATATTTAAAAACTATGTTTAAAATAAAAAAAAAAATAAAAAATCCACATTTATTGATCCTTGTTGGTCCCGAAAATTTTTTTTTGTCTGGTCAACAATAAATGACAACAAAAAATATTTTTAACTAATCCATCCTCACCTATCCTTGTTAGTCCTGGAAATAATATTTTAAAACAATCCAGGTTTTTTGGTCCTTTGGTCCTTAAAAAAAGATTTTTAACTAACCAATCTTCTTGGATTTTTTTTTACAAATCCACGTTTATTGGTACTTGAAAAATATTTTTTTTTTAAAAACAGTTTGTT